ACCATGGCCTGTATCAGACACACCTTAGTCTCCAGCCTGACGTCATTGCTCTTCAATACTTTGGAGAGTTCCCTAACAGCAGACTTTCCCATGGCAATATGTCTTTTAATTTCCTGGCTGCTGGTGCCAAGAGTGTTGACTGTGGAGCCAAGCAAATTAAAGCTGTGAACAATCTCAATCTCTTATAGAGCAGGCCAAAAATTTAATCCCTTATATAAAGACTTAAGAGGAAGCATCTTTCATCTATTCCTTTCAGTAAAATGCTTGTCTGACAGATATTGCTCTAAGTATCCAAATTAGGACAGGATAGGAAGAAGGATTAGACATCCACTTCCAAAATATAACAGGCCTTCAAAACCCTATGTACAACAGAGTACACTTTAAATAGACTAACAGATATGGCAACAGAGGCTAAATTTTGGAAAATTTGGAAACACAGAGGAGGAGGAGGAATAGTTGGACAGTAACGGGACAATGGGAGTAGGTGTGTCAGAGTCTCAAACGACTCTACGGCACATAACAAGAACACCTAAAGACTTTGCATATATTTCCAAGAAATCAGCAAACAACCCAGTACAAAAGCAGGTGAAGACATTATTAACAATTAACAGAGGAACAAACACAAATTGCATTAACTGTGTGAAAAGCCAAGAACATCTCCAGCAGTCAGTAGGAAATACAAATGAAATCATAATGAGGTATCATTTTTCATCTCGGCTTTGGCTAAGTTTTCAAGCCTGATGGCATCCGGCACTGGTGAGGGCGCCGGGGAACAAACAGGCGTCCAGGCATTTCTGCAGGAGAGGGACTGTTGACAAACCTTCAGAAAAGCAAGCTGGCAACAAGAGTGTCTACGACACAGCCGAGGCGCAGAATAACGGGCGTCATGCACATTTACATAACGGAAATGTTCATGCCTTCAAACAAGGAGAATGCTTGTGGAACCTGCTTTGTAGAAATTTCCATACCTAATGGTTGAAATGAACGCTTCAGGACAGGGGTCGACAAACTAGGGCCTGTGAGCCAAGTCTAACGTGCCACCTGTTCTTGTAGAGGTTGTTGTTGTTCTTATGTGCCATTGAGTTGAGTACAACCTCCAGTGACTTTATGAACAACAGATCTGAACCCTGTCCTATCCTGTGCCATCCTCACAAATCTCTGACGAAGTTGAGTCCGTTGCTGCAGTAACTGTATCAATCCAACTGCTCAAGGATCTCCCTTGTTCTTTGCTATCCCTCCACCTTCCCAAGCATCATGTCTCTCTCCAATGCGTAGCTACTCTTAGCAACATGTCCAAAGTATGTGAGACGTCTTTTGGAACTAAGAATAATTTTCACATTTTCAAATGGTTATATAGATGTGCTCATAATAGCTTTGATATCCGCCTCCTGGCCAGCAAAGCTTGAAATATTTATTATCCGATCCTTTAAGGAAAAATGCACTGACTTTTGCCTCAGGTGAATTACAAGTCGCAAGTTCCTCTTTCTTTCCTGGTGTTTTTTTTTTTTTAAATAATTTGAGTAACAGCCATATACTGACTTGAAGGAGACAGGCAGGTTGATAAATACAGCAATCACTTTGGACGCTATTGTAAAGAGAAAGGGGACGACCACGGACACCAGTTAGGAAGATCCTGCAAAGGTCCTGATGAGAGAGGAAGGTGCTTTGGAGTGAGATGTGGCAGCTTGGTCCCTGTCATGGGTTGTGTGATGCCCACTACTGAAATTACTTTGGAGACTGGAGAAGGGATATTGGAGAGGAAAGTAAGAGTTTTATTTGAACCTGTTCATTTTCAGACAAAGGAAGAATCGATGCCTTTGAGGGGTGGTGTTGGAGAAGACTGTGGAATGGACTGTCAATCCCCAAGCACAGACTCCCCAAAGAATAAACAAGAATGTCTTTGAAAAGGTATAGCCTCCCAGCAAAGATAATTAAACTTCCTTTAACAATCTTTGGGCACGTGGCAAGGAGGGAACAGTCCTTGGAGAGTGACGTCATGCTTAGAAGAGTGAAGGGACAGCGCAGAAAAGGAAGATCCAGAATGAGATGGAATAACTCGGTTACTAGAGAAATGGGATTGGGTCTGTCAGAGACGATGAGATCGTGTCAGGATAGGGCAGGATTCAGAGCTATTGTGCCGAGGGTCTCTAGCGAGTTGCAGGTGACTCGATGGCATATAACAATAACAACAAAATTCTTTGGGCATATTAACAGGAGGTGCCAGCCCTTGGAAAAGAACATCATGATTGGAAAAGCGAGGGGTCATAAAGGAGGAGAAGACCCTTCGTGAGATGAACTGACACAATGTCTGTAACGGTGGGCTCAAGTGTATCAGAGACACTGAGGATGGCACAGGGCAGGGTTCAGAGTCACTGTTCACAGAGTAGCTGAGAAGCCAGTGAAAGTATGAAAAAGATAATCCTCTGGGCAGTGGACACGTGATTAGAGTAAATGTGAGGCAAGAAGGGCAGACTGAGCAGAAAACTGAAATTGAGGAGTCGTCACTAGGAGATGGTACTTAGAGTAACAGGAGTGTTGCTCAGGATTACGAGGAAAGTTCTGGAGAGTCTTCCTTGTGGCTTCGTCCCAACCCAACCGGAGCCCAGAGGTCTGAAGCACGCCTTCAGTCTATTCCTGGGGAGGCGGCTGGTTCTGTTAATATTGTCCAACACCATATTCCCCCAAATCATCTTTTCCAAGATTTCTTATGGCCACGGGCCAAGGAACCCCATGGCTTCCAATTAGCCTTCCTCCCAGCTGGGCTGCTAGTCTGAACACGAGCTCCCACTGTCCATCAAGGGCTGATGGCTTTTCCAGCACTTGGTCCTCCAGTGGAGAGAAGGGTCCGAGTGCTGACCTTTTCCTGTCAATCCCCAAGAACATGCAGCCCCCTTTATTCAGGTCCCCCCTTTTTAAAAAAAAAAAAACAACACCTGAGGGTATCACAAAGGACTCACCAAGGAGCTGGTGTAGGTGGGGTCTGAGGTGTCATCCTGCAGGTAGCGCGACAGGCCAAAGTCAGACACCTTGCACACCAAGTTACTGTTGACCAGAATGTTCCTGGCAGCCAGGTCCCGGTGCACGTAATTCATCTCAGACAGGTACTTCATGCCAGCGGCGATGCCCCTCAGCATTCCTACCAGCTGGATAACCGTGAACTGCCCGTCGTTTTGCTGCAAGAAGGCACAAAGGGCATCAGGATTGAGATGGGGTTTGGTGCTGAAGCAGGAACAGAGCTCCTGGGACACTTTGGCTTGTGAGCCTCTTTAAGACAAAAACAGAGAAGCTCCCTGCTCCCCCTCCCGCCTCCCGTTCCCATCACCATCATCCCGCTTCTCAAATGCACTGCTCTCCTCACTCTGCCAAGCCCTGTCGATTTCATCTCCAAATTACATCTCCGGCCCATCCACCTCTCTCCGTCTCCACTGTCGCCATTCGAACCAAGTCATTGTCATCAATCACCTGTAACAGCCTCCCTGCACTTGACCCCTACAATCTATTCTCTCCATGGCAGCCAGAGTGATCTTTTCAAGACATAAATCAAGTCATCTAACTTCCCAGCTTAAAGCTCTTTAATAATCTCCTTTTTGCATTCAAGGAAACTTCTAAACTGCCAAGTATGGCCCAGGGGATACTCATGGGACCAGGAACTGCCTCATTCTATGCCATTATACGCCTCACTTCAAAGCTAAACCCTCCGATAATCTTGCAATTCTTTCCCAATCTGAAGTCTTCCTGCCTCAGGTTCCTTACACATGCCCTTTCCTCTGTCTAAAAGGTGTTAGGAAGAAGTGATCGACACTGAAACATTTCAGGAAGTAGTATACAGTCAAGAACTAAAAGTATTAAAGGAAGAGTTCAAACTGCACTAAAGATATGGGCAAGAAATAAGTAAGGCCCAACTCATAAATGACCCTCCAGTAGGTTTTCAGAGGCTATATGTCAAATGGGAGGAGATTTCTCATCTTTTCCCTAAACAGCTGCTATAGACTCAAACAGCCTGCCTTCGGATTGACAGTGAAACTCCGAACCTCTACACTACTAAAGCTCAAAACATTCCAGGCAGAGAAAATAGCTTGTGTCAGAGTGCAATGACAGGAAGAATTAAAACTGGGGGGGGGGG